GCCACCGTTTGTGACCTTGTAGAAATGTAAAACTCTCCAAACCCAATTCCTCTTGTGCTTTCATTGCACTCATACATCTCCACCTCTTTCTGTACTTATGAGACACCAAAGAAGAAAGGTTGGGTTTCAAAATAGATGGATTTTTTCAAAGCTGCTACAGGCAGCATTCTGTAGCATTTGGTGTGTTCTAGTAAGTATTTAACAGACTAACTGTTGCTTATCTTAAAAATCAGTTAATCCATAGAACAATGCCTCAGACTCAACAAACCTGTTGTTTGTCCTCCCAGAGAGAACAGGAGCATTTGCATCTGAGCTGCACTGCACCTGGGTTTTATGCAAAGTTAGGCTTGTGTGTGATGGTTTTTTGTTCTCTGCCAGTTGGCATATGGACTCGTGCAAGCAGTAGCCTTGTGTAGCAAGTGTTTGGCACAGACTTAGCATTTCTGCCTTTTTATGTTTCCTGACCTGCTAACGGCTTCATGTGAAATGTGGTTGTTGGGCAGGTGGAGGGTAAACACAACCCAAAAGTTGTTTGAGCAGCAAAAATGTGTGTTATGGTTTTTCCTTTGTGGAGGTGGCATCTGCCAGCAGGATGAAGCAGAGCAGCCCCAGCATGGGCAGTGCATGTGAGCAGGACATGCAGCTGATTCCCTCACCAGTAACCACAGTAAACAACGTTGACAAGATTTTGCCTGAGAACTCAGTCACTTTATCTAAAATCAGTTTTCTGGCTTCTGGGAATTAATTCCCATGCACAGACTTCCTTCTCTTGAAGAATGATGTAAGAAAAATACTGGATTATGTGACTGGTGACAGATAATCCTCTCTCTAACAGTTGGGCATGATGATAAAGTAATCAAAGCTTTCTTTTTTTTTCAAGTGAATGGAGTGACTCCACTAATGCCCCCATCAGTGATGCTGATGAACATGAACTCATCATTCTGAGAACACAGAGACACAGCCTAAAATCATCACCATGCCTTTGTTCTACAGAACAATGAACACACTGATAGCTGTTAAATGTTTTTTTTTTAATTCAAATGTGTTTGCTACTAGGACAGAAAAAAATACTGGAGGTTGTTTTTTGCTTAGTTGAGAGCCACAGATCTTCTTTAATATATTTCAGGATGATACTCAAGACAGAAATGGGTCCTTACAAGCTAGTAACAGTACTCATGGGATGTAAGAATGCATTGCCTGTTGTTTTTCCCTCCTCTCCCTTATCACGATGAGGATGGAGTTTTGGATTGGTAGCACAAACAAGTGATCAGACTGCTGAATGCTGGGCGAAGGGCTTGGCCTTTTTGAAGTGTGACTATCATGTATGAATGAGCTTATCTGAAGTTGCTTTTCAGGGCAGTTTCTTACCTGAGTTTCCCACCAAGATCTTAGCTCATGAATCTTTACTCTTGCCTTAAGCAAAGAGATCAATGTGGTTTACTTTCTAAGCATGGTTCTGAAACAGGAATTGCAATTAATCTTAATCTGTGCTCTGATAAAATTTCATTTGGCTTTTATTTTTTTGTTTGCTTCTAAAAGGTCAAATGTTTTTGCTGACATTAAATGTGTTCTGAGGTCAAATAAATGAATGCTTATTAAATGCTTTTGCAGAAAGCTGCATGGAGCAGATCATTTGTGTGTGTGTTAATTTCTTTGTTATATAAATTCAGTTGTAATATTTCTGTTTTACTTGTTATTCTAGAGCATTGATACTTAGAAAACCTGGGCAGAGGGGTCAGCAGTGAACAAAAGAAGGGATTGCTCTTATAATATTCTGTTTGGGTATCGTCTGTATTTCCGTTTGGTTCTGAGGATTCTTGTGGACTATTTCTCCAGCTCTTATGCTGCAGTGCTAGGAAGCTGATGAGAAAATAAATGTTTGTCATAACAGTATGGTAGGGAAGTAGTTAAACTGGTGTTAGTATATTTACCTATCCATGCTGAAGAAAGGAGAGAGAGGATTGCACCATTTCATTACAAATCAATGAAATCTAAGGTTTAGACAGTCTGTTTTCACATTCAGAAATGGGGTATATGCCAGTTCGTTCTTTGTGCTTTCCTCCAGATGGTCTGTCCAACATAATCTGTTTCTCTCAGACAGGTCTTGGTGCTTTGCCTTGGAATCCAATTGCATTTGGCCCCAGGAAGAGCACACTTAGTCTCCTGCTTCCGTGCGCTTGGAGGACAAGGCTCATAGCTGACAGATTCCAGGCTCTGAGATCTGTTACTGCTGGGATATAGGGTATCAGCTGCTGGGTCAGGGGTTTGGAATTCCGGGGTTGTTCTGCTGTCTTGTGACTCTAAAGGTCAATGGGACAGGATACAGGTGAAGGCTGCCTGATTCTTTTTGCTTCTGCAGTTGGTGTAAGGGATCTTGCTGAAATGCTGAGATGCAGCTGTGTACCAAGCAGTGCACAGGCAGCCTGCTGGGCCACAGGGTGCCCAGATGAATTCCTGAAAAGACCCGTTTTGGCTGAAGAAGAGGTTTAGCTCCTAAACAAGCTGGGAAATGAGCCCTTCTGTGTGAGGATGGGTCTTCCAAAGCTCTCACTGTAACTTTAATTGGAAAAGGTTAATCTGATTAGTTGGTGTTTGCAAAGAGCTTTAAGGATGAAAACTGCTATGTAAGTGCTGACTATGATGATGATGATAGATGTGCTTTATCAGCAGTTTGCAGGATGAGTAAGACTCTCTTCTCCCATCTGACAGTGAGGGAGCTGCCTGCTGGAGAGCAGAAGAAAAATAGTTCAGGAAAAAGAAAAAAAATTGATGTCCTGTTGTCTTGCTGATGTCTGCCTCTTGTTGAGTACCGTGCATGTTCATTATATGTTGAACCTCTGGGCCAGGCGATGTCCATGTGAGCACATGACAACCAGTGCTTGGAGGAGCTGTTTCCTGGAAATCCTGTGGATAGCTTGCCTGGCTTTCCAGTATTGTCCAGCTGGCAGCAGGTTCAGTGGGTGATGCTTTCAGAAATGCTGGAGCAACCCTTGAATCTTCTTTTTCAACAGCTAGATGTTGACTGAGGAGCAGAAGTGTTGAAGCTGGGTTTCTATAAATGGTGCCTTGATATCTAAGTGATTAGGTTTTTTTGCAGCTCTCACTGTCTGACAGTGATCACACATGAGCCTTTCCAGCAAACAGCAGTAATGGCTTCACAGGCTGATTGTTGTTGTTGTCTTTGTATGACTTGAATAGTTTTGTCCCAGTGAGGTACTTCTGATTGATGCTAATGCTGGACAAAAGATATTGTCTAAATGGGATGCTTCGGAGTTGTGCAGAACTGCCTCCTGTAGCAGTTTGCCGGGGCCCTGCCTTCAGTTCCCCAGCTGACTTGATGGTTTCCATCCTCCCATTTTGACACTTGCCCTTTTAGCAAGCCAGAGATGGATTTCCTCAGAACAGCTCCAGTGCAGCTGTTCTCTGCAGCCCACCTGGAGCCTGGTGTGCTGCTGGTGCTCTTTCTGGGAAGGTGCATCCCACAGAGCAGCAGCAGAGCCAGCTTTACATACAAACTCTAGGGAACTATTTCAGCAAGCCTAGCAGAAGAGTGACCTGGGCTGGCTTTACTCTAACCTGAAAGATTATCAGATATGCTTCAGGAAAGTTACTCATACCAGCTTAGAGACCAGCTTCTTAAGCTCTTGTACTTTTCTGTTTCATCCACTGCAGAAATTTCCATTCTAGGTCAGGTGTGGGGTTTTTATTTTTTAGTTTTCTAGTTCAATGTCTGTGTGTGTTGTTAATGGTTCCAGTATTTGATACACAAAGTGCAGAATCAGAAACTGAACAAAATCACATGTTTTATGGAAAGGAAAATCCTCAGGGGAGGAGCAGCCACAGTTCATGATTAATTTCTAAAGCATGCATGCACGCCATGTATCAGGGAAGGAGGTGAGCTGGTTGCTTTATTCTTTATGCTGCTCTATCCTCAGAAGAAACATTTGTAGCTGGTAAGATTTACAGATATAGGATCCAAAAATCTGATTTCTGCCAACAAAAAGAGACCCAGACTTGAGCTGCCTTGCAGATTCTGTCAGATGATGTCAAAGTGAAAAAAGGTATCTCCATCCTGACTAGGATTTTTCACTGTCTCTTGCCATCAAGTAGACTACAGAGGCTGCTCCTTGCTTTGACTGCTGACAGATGTTCTGACTAACGAAAAAAAGAAGATACTAGAGTGTGGTTTATAAGAGTAGCTTCTACCTTCAGAGCTTCCAGGGAGTTATAAAGGAGAGTGTGATGAAGTAATCCTCCATTTCCCATGTAAGAACTAGGGCAGAATGGAGAGAGGATCTGGTTTGGTGACTTGTGCACTTTCCTGGTGGCTGAGCTCCATGTCCAGCTCCCAGCTTTCCCATGGGCTTCTGAGGTGTTGCACCAGTGAGTCAGGCAGCACAGCAGCTGGCAGGGCAGACTCTGGGTCCTGACTTGCTCTCTAGCTAACAGAACCTGGCTTTTCCAAGGGTGGTGCAGAGTTGGGCCTTAACATGTGCAGCTCCCCAGAGGTGCTTAGAAGACTAGGCTTCATGAAATTAATTTTTTTAGCATCTTGGTGGTTCTGTAGTTACTTCCACATCCATTTAGCAAAGAATGAACAGAGATGGTGAGCGTTGGAGCAATAGGGAAATGGTAGATAACAGAAGCACGAGGATCCTAGGGCAGTCAGCAAGTGAGTGACTGAGCTGTGAATAAAGCTCTGTCCTCCTTGATCTAATCCACAGACATCATACCTGTCTCCTGGCTGCCCTGGCTCTTCCCTGCTCTTGACCAAAGTCTTCAGATCGTCCTGTGGGCTGGGAGACCATTGTTGCCTTCGGGAGCTGAGTGTTCTGTCTCTCTCCTTTTTCTTTTTTTTTCAACTTAGGTTTGTGTGCAGTCCCTCATTCCCTCTGCCCAAATCTCTTCCTCTGAAGCAGTCACCAGTGTGTGGAGCCTGCCCCACACCCATCACCTGCCAAACCACGGCCTTTACCTGCGTCTTCCGGTGTTTCCCGTGCGACCCGTCCTGCGGGAGCGCCTCCTGGGCCACCCCAGACTTCACGCAGCGCTCAGTGGCTCCAATGGTGAAGATGACAAGGTCCAAGACTTTCCAGGCATATCTGCCTTCGTGCCACAGGACCTACAGCTGCATTCACTGCAGGGCTCATCTTGCCAACCACGATGAGCTCATTTCCAAGGTAGGTGCATGACCTCACCCGCAGGTGCTGGGCGGATGCGGAAGGGCAGGTGAGCTGCTGTGGAAGTGCCTGGACTTAACCAGTGTTGCAGTTTTTGCGTGGAAAATGGGCTCTCAGCTCAAGGGATCTATTTTTGAGCTGCCATTCTTGTTTTAATTGAACTTGAAAACAGTGGTAGGGGGCAGATTTCCAAATTTGGGCCTCTGGAGTGTTTACAGGTGGTCTTTCTCTTCCCATGATTCAGCCTCCTCCCTCATTTCCAGCTGCAATGCTGCAGTAGCTGATGGCCAGGACTGCATAAATTACCTTCCTGGTACTTCTTGTTCATGTACGTGCTTGTCAGCATAGTAGAAGGGTTGTTTCATGATCATGATTTGGAGGCAAAGTGTCTGGAGATGTTCTCTCTGTTAAACTCTGAGCTCTACCAAGTGACTATACTAAAGCCCCTCCTTATAAGAGGGAAGATTCTCTTATGCTTCCACCACAACGTAAGGCAGCTTTCTGAAAACCGATGAGTTGTTGATCAAATCTTTGTATTTTTTCCAGTCCAGTAGCAAGACACTTTGCAATGAAAAAACGGGGGATGGATGGTATGATGTGCTCTGAGCTGGGGAGGGTGGAATAATTCTGTCCTGTTTTCTGATCACAAGGGTAAGGGTCTTAAGGATAAGCTAAATTAAAATCTTTCAGAGCTAATAAGTTGGGGCCTTTGATGCAGAGGGAGCAGGCCAGTAAGAGGATCTCTTTCTGAAGTGTGAAAACAAAACTTTCTCAGAGTGTGTATTGGAGCCTGTCATGCCTGGCTGGTCAGGCATCAGGTTTCCAGGTTTTGGCTGCCTTGGCAGACAACTGTTCCATAAAGTTTATTCAGCTTATAAAATATATGTTCAGAGAAAGCAGGGAGACCATAAGGTTTATTAGCTGAGATGAGGGGAAATGGGGCTGTGAGCTCTGTGTGTGTGTGTGCACAGCTTAAACCAGTTCAGCTTCTTGGAGAAGCCTTGAGAGAGAGGCCAGGATCACAAGGGATAGAGGTGCTCAGTGTGTAGTGAAAGTGTGTGGTGCTTCTCACCTTCCTATTTACATGGAAAATGTGTCACCTTGGACAAAGAGCATCTGTCCTTACAGGGTCGGCATCTTAGCAGCTGTGGAGGTCCTTTGGGATTATCTGTGTTGGGTGCTCAGACCTGTCTTCTTCCATTGGAGGCTGCCTCCTTCCTTTTTCTCTTGGTTGTTGCATGAATCAAGTTGATGTGTACCTCTGTGATGTGTCCTTGCCAAACAATTGAATTTAAGTATTCTGGTATGAGTAATGCTGATTGCAGACTGCCACAGTTTTGGTTTTACCAGTTTCTGAATGGACAGGTTTCCTTTTGGGCTGTCACCTGTGAGTTGTTCTGGGCCTCAGGAGTTCCTCTTCTTTTGGTACAATTTCAGTGGTTCTTAGCAGTGCAAAGCCTCAAGCTTTGAAAAAGGAGAAGGTTGTATATTTCCTCAACAGAAAAAAGTTCTGAAATGTAAATGTCATCAGCAGTCTGTGCCCAGGTCTGGATGGGAAATACATTCAGCCTCTTGGATTAGCTGTGTGACTTCAGGCTCTTGTGCTCAGCTGAGGTATCTGTGAAGTGGGGCAGTCACTGCCCTGCCTTTTCATGAGGAGAGATGTTACTAGCTAGATTTTGCGTTGGGACATAGAAGATGCTTTATTGGATAAAGAAGAAGGCTTGTTTTACTTACTGCTTTTATGGTAGATTAGAGTTTGTGCTCTGCTTTTTGTTTTGTTTTGTTTTGTTTGACATAGCTGGTCCCCAGCCAGGGAAAACACAAGGCTTTGCACGCCCAGGGCTTTCACCTTTGACACTTCCTTCCCCTCCTTCTTCCATGTCCGTGCTGTTTCTGCTCCACTGTGCAATGCTGCCAGCTTGGCAGGTAAGTGGCTCCCAGCAGGGCACTGCCAGTGCTGCAGGCTGCTTGGAATTTGAGCTTCTAAGGTGTTGAGGCATGCAGAAACTGCCCAGGAATGCTGAGTGCTAAAATATGGACACGGGAGGGAAGGTATGAAAGCACAATGTGAGAACATGAGCATTGAATCGCAACAGGATTCAGTACAGTGAGCTGCAGTGCTTGCACCTGCTCCTTCTAAAATTCATTGTAGGCTGTGGTGTAAATTTGTAGTAGTGTTGGGACTCCATTGCTGGTGGAGCACTAGTGGGTCGTGCCACTTGATTGCAAGGGGTTTGGGTTTCTAGGTTTTATTTCTCAGAATTATAAACCTTAATAAGATATGTTATTTGTATAATTGGAAACCTTATTAAAAGTAATGGTGCAGTGATAATTTGTACAACTGGCTATTAAACTGAGAACAGAAGGGCAGTCCCTGCCTCAAGGGGCTTCCAATATGTGTAGAAACTTTCCCAGCCAAATGTAGTCATCTTCTTATCTGTTTGAGTTATGTTTTGACCATCTCCCTGCAGCCTACTGCAGTTCTTTCATCACAGCCTCAGATTAGCATCTGAGAATCAGGCAGTGCAATTGCTGTGCTTGTTTTCCATAGGAAAATGTGGCAAACAGAAGGAAGAAACAAGCACCATGAGGACTGAAAAGGGAGTGGGAGATTCTGTCAAGCCGGAGTGTTTCTCAGTCTGCAGTCTATCCCATCTTGAACCTGACTATGTCACTTTAATGAAAACAGCCCAAATGACACCATCTTTGGAAACGTTCCCCAGAAAACAGGCTTTTATGTAACAGCAGGGTGTTGGTGATTTGGCTTGATGAAATTAGTTTCTCTGTTCCTTTTGCCCCAAGTTGTGCAGAGACCACATGAGGGCTGTGCTGCTTTGCATGCCATGAGCTTTTAGCTCCTTTGGATACATACAAATTGCAGCACTGGCTCATGCTGTTGTCTATCTTTGGAAACGTTCCCCAGAAAACAGGCTTTTATGTAACAGCAGGGTGTTGGTGATTTGGCTTGATGAAATTAGTTTCTCTGTTCCTTTTGCCCCAAGTTGTGCAGAGACCACATGAGGGCTGTGCTGCTTTGCATGCCATGAGCTTTTAGCTCCTTTGGATACATACAAATTGCAGCACTGGCTCATGCTGTTGTCTGAAACACAAGCTGGAGCTGAGTCCGTGTATTGTTCTGTGTCAGTCCATACTTTTATTTCCTCTTCATCTCCAAGTTTCCCCTCTCAGCCCTTCAGCATCAGTGTTAACTGAATTCAAAGTGTTTTGCCAGTACTAGATATCCAAAACTCTTTGACAAATAAGCCTTGGCGAGGCAGTTCTTGCTTTCTTTTCTACTTCAGGAAACCTTGTGCATTAAAATGGGTTGAAGGTTTCTCAATTGCTATTTAAAGAAAATAATCGATGCTGAGGCTTTTAAGAGAATTTGAAGCTGTTACATGAAGCCAGTTACCAAAAGCTTGCTTGGCCTTTTATCTTCTCCAGCCAGAGGGAGAAAGTGGTTTAGTGTGTCTGATTTGTAATAAGATCTAAAGTGTGGGTTGGATTGTCTGGCCAAGAAAGATCTTACTGACTTAGGAAATATAAGGTGATCAGATAGATTGGGTGGAGTGAGTAACTAGTTTTCCTTTGTATGCTCCTTTGGTGTCTGAGTTAGCATGAGTAGAGGTTCTTGTTCCCTCGCAGCAAAGCATCCTTTAAAAATCCATGCCAAATTTAGTATGTGCTCTTGTTTCATTGCTTTTTCCAATGCCTAAGTGGGCTGAGACTTTGGGAACTCAACCTCGCCCTTCAACAGATTCCTGTCTGACCTTGAGTAAGTCACTTAATGTCTTTGTTCCTCCTTTCTCTACCTGTTCAATTGAAATGCTGCTGTTTTGTCCAGTCTGCCTGGAAGATAAAGCTTTGGAGCAGGCACTGTCTGCTCTTATGATTTAGTACAGAGTGTCCTCATCCACTTTGGCTTTACTGTAAAAACAAAAATACCATGCCAGGTGACTGGAGTCAAAAAGCATATTTCAGTGCCTTTCAATTGCCAAAAAATAAGTGAAAGTTGTTTGTTACATTTCTTTATCCCAGGCACAACATCCCATGGTTTTTAGAATGTTTAAGAAAAATATACTATAATCTATGTTGGCAAAACCTCTCCAGGAAGGAGGTAGAGGGGCTTTTCTTGAGGAATGTGCCTTCCACATCATTTTCTCGTGGGGCTTGGGGAAATAGCTAACAATAGCAGACATTGAACAGTATAAATAGCATATTTTTTCTCTCTCAAAGTGGTAGATGGGATGCTGGTTTCTACCTACTCTGTGCTATTCCAACTCTTTGTCAGCCTTTTCTGTTTTGAATTCATGTGTATCCAGTAGAAAAGGATGGGAACAGGAGCAGAAGGATACAGGCCAAACAGGGCTGTGTTAGTGTCTTAGTTGCTGACTCCTTTTTTTGCCATGGGAACAGTAATTCACCAGAAATGCCCCTGATTATGGAAATATGTAGGGAATGTCTTGTGGGCATCCTGCAGTTTCTTTTTTTCATGAATTACTGGGATCCAACTGCTGAACATTATGCAGTGATGTATCCTCTGGAGTTAGCCTAAGGCTTGCTGAGGAAGTTTAATGTTTTCCTTTGATGTCTGCACGGGGACCATTTCTGAACATGAATGTGAAATCATTCAACACAAAGGGCTGCAGCTCCTCCAGCACAGGGAATTTAGAAAAAAAAATAGAGAACTTGTGTGTGCCTGACTTTGTCATTTGGGGTTGGATGGTTAGCTAGGGAATGCTTAGAAGCTCTTTGTTTCTGCCTTCTTTGACAGGAGTTGCAAGGTTTATAAGCAAACCTTGCTCCCAGTCATTGTGGCCGAGCAGCTTCCCTGGCTAACAGACTTCTGGAGCCTGAGCTTGTTGGTACAACAGCCTTAGTGAGCTCTGTGGCACACTCAAGACAGCAAACTTTGCTCCATGTTGCAACTGAGGGATCTTAAAAGGATTTGAAACTTTGGTGCTGGCTTTCAAAGAAGTTGTGGATGAATTTGGCTA